ACACATAATAAAAATTAATTTAGTAAATAAATAAATGTCTAAAAGATTTATCAATTTCACATAATTTTATCTTTGGTGGGTAAAAATACTTTTTAAAAAATTAAAAATATTTTTTTGACATTTATTTTTGTCAAATTAGTTTATATTTTATCAAATTGATAATTTTACCCTTAAAATTAAGCAATGGTATCTTCAATTGTCCTTATTTGAAACAAGATTCAAAATTCAGGTCAAATGTGTCGCAATTGAAAAGTCAATGAGCAAAGTGACATGAGCCCCAAACTATACGAACTATTAGAGCATATTTGATTGGAAGGATTGAAGCATGGGATTGAGATTATTAATCCGTGGGCCCAATCATCCTATGTTTGTTTTGACATTTTGGTTTAGGATTATTAATCCAATGGATAATTAATCCAACAAATTTGTAGGATTATTAGTAATGGGGTAGGGGTGGGATAGCTAATACCACACTAATTTAATAAGATTATTAATACCTCACTATTAGTGTTGTAAATCAAACATGGCCTTAGTGTAATTCATCCTAATTTTTATTTTCATTGATTGATTTACTTGTGAGAAATCATCCATTTTCCCTAACTTGATTAATCGTCCTAACTGTTAGAGAAATCACTCCAATTTTTTAATGCCAGAATCTTGTTCATCATTCAAAAGTTAAGTTTAATTTGCCAATCATACCCATTACTTGATTGTTAAAAATTATTTCTCATCTAAAATTGATTGTTTGATTCCGTGAGCTGAATTTTGATTATTCGGTTCTATTAACATTGTGGTTGTAATTTCTAACTCTAGCGCAAAGCACAAATTTTGAAGCTGTGGTATGATTGTTCTAAATTTTGATTGTCTCCATTTACGGGTAAAATATTGTTTAGCCAGAGTATTTCATGTGATTGCCAAGCTTCACCACCCACAGTATTATACATTGTTTAGTTTACTTTATTCGATTATTTGACAACATTTAGTTCCTCAGTGAACGTAGTAGTACAAAATTGGCCTTCCTTTTCATTTTAGTTTGATATTTCAACATTGCAATCCTGACCTGCCTTACTTAATCTAGATCCTTACAATTAATTATTCTTCTGTGCTTTTGTTCCTTCCACAGACATACCAAACAGTTGTTATGATTGATTGGCAGAATGGAATGCAATCTTTTTGTCCAGCTGTGTGGTCTAAGCATAGAAGAAGGTGGTTGTTGATGTCAATGATCTGTTTCAATCCTTTAGCATGTGTAATTTAGAAACAATGATCATACACATTGGATTTATTTAATTGCACTGGTATGATGTGGTTAGTTCTGTTTCTTCTCTTCCATCAAATCATGTACCATTTTTTACTTTCACTCGCCTATATAAATTAGGAATAATGCTTGGGACCCCCTTTTGGGGGTCACCCCCTCACCCCCCTTTGCCACGTGGCAGGGGGTGATTGGTGGAGCAGGAAAAAAAAGAAAAAGAAAAAGAAAAAGAAAAAGAAAAAGAAAAAGAAAAAGAAAAAGAAAAAGAAAAAGAAAAAGAAAAAGAAAAAGAAAAAGAAAAAGAAAAAGAAAAAGAAAAAGAAAAAGAAAAAGAAAAAGAAAAAGAAAAAGAAAAAGAAAAAGAAAAAGAAAAAGAAAAAGAAAAAGAAAAAGAAAAAGAAAAAGAAAAAGAAAAAGAAAAAGAAAAAGAAAAAGAAAAAGAAAAAGAAAAAGAAAAAGAAAAAGAAAAAGAAAAAGAAAAAGAAAAAGAAAAAGAAAAAGAAAAAGAAAAAGAAAAAGAAAAAGAAAAAGAAAAAGAAAAAGAAAAAGAAAAAGAAAAAGAAAAAGAAAAAGAAAAAGAAAAAGAAAAAGAAAAAGAAAAAGAAAAAGAAAAAGAAAAAGAAAAAGAAAAAGAAAAAGAAA